AGCAGTCAGTTTACACAACTGGGGAAAAAAATAACTCCCATAAAAATTGACGTCCTGCTTCACCTCATAGTTCTTTTAAATCTTAGCTTAAAACTCTTTACCCCATACAAATAAACTGTTCTTGAAATTGATTTTAGCATTTTATTTTTCAGCATTCTACAAAGGTACCCTGGTTAGTTCATTGAAATAAATTGCACTGTCTAAATCCTTAACATTACACTGGTGCATTTTACAGCTCATTACTGCCATCAGACATAGAAACATTGCTCTCCAGCAACACTAGTGGTAAAAAAACCTCCACAATGAACCTTTAAATATAAAAAATGAATACCTGTTTGCATTTTCAAGGACGGAGCGAGTGAGAAAGCTCATCCACATCCCATCTCTCTTCCCCAAGATCCACTCCAGGATGCCTGCATGTGAACAGATTCAGATGATGACAAATAGTCACAAAACCAAGACCTTCTTTCTAAATGACAATGGATATAGTCCCGAGCCAAACGGTTGATCACTCACCGATGTATCCGCCATCGAGGCTGAAGCGCTCATTCATAGTCAGAGTGAACATGTGCTACAAGAGGAAGGAGAAATTCATCTTTCTTACAAACCGAACTGTGCAAGTCTCAACAGTTGTTATTGATGTTAAATGATGTTTTGTTCTGATTGAATCTTCAGTTATATAACTAATTGACTTACAGGCTTGATGCCAGTCAGCATGCCGACATATCCAGCGAAGTTTGTAGACTTGAAGACGGTCTGGTTATTCCTCTTGAAGTCGAGGTTGACCACTAGGGGCTTCAGCTTCTCGCTAATGATCCATGACTTGTTTTTCACATCCCAGCTGTGAAGAGGGACAAGTCAGTATCGAGAGGTTATTTTAAAACGGACACGTTGAGCTTAAAAACTGTGATTTTAAGGGGGTGATTCTTACCCCATGAATAATCCAAAATCCAGATTTCTACCATGAATGAGGTTACCTGTAAGAGTGCAAAACCCCAAATCATTTCACTACTGATGAATATTTTAAGTTTGTTAATCAATCTGATTCTGGACAATGACCCACCCTTATCGTCTTCTGCAACAATGGATGTGCACACAGTGAACACCTCATAGAAGATGTTGAACAAGACGACTTCACCTTAGATATAAATAAATAGAAAAGAAAAAGGGGAAGAGGTCAATGGTGCATTTTAAAAATATTTACTAAACAGAAAGTTGAGAACATTTGTGTTTTCTTACCAAGAGGAATCCCTGAAGCAGTTGCAATTCCTTTGATTTCATCACTGAAAGGGTTTGGAAGTGTGTCCGCCATCAGAGGCTGCAGAACATCAGAAAACATTACTGAAGTCATTAAACCTTTCATCACAATAAAAATATGTCAGTGTGAGGAAAACACAGTACACAGAGATAAAATTACACCCACCAGCGTAATGTCGACCAGCTCTATCAGCCTCCCACTGGGAACAAAAGCATCAGCCAAGTCTTTGATGGCCTGAATCATGTTGACCAGCTTAAAAGAAAGAGATCATGAGTGAAAAAAAAGAAAAAGACGTGATATTTTTGTGAGACTAGTTCAAAGCACTTGACAGCATCTTTACATCAGTTTTTTTGGCAGTTATCAGAGCTGTCCATCTCTTGCTGGGCGGTAAGTCGAGGTCCACTGTGTACCAGCTGACAGCTCCTCTGAACCTGATTAGAAAGAAAAAAAAAAAAAGCTGTAAAACTTCAGAAACATCAGGATACAAATGATAACATCTCATTCACAACATCAGACGTAATTTTTATTTGACATTTAATGCAGCAACCTAATTCTATCTGACCAGTAAATCTTAGTTTTATCTCCTGTGGAAACAGATTGAAGTTGTTAGTTAGATTAACTGGCAACAATTTTGACTTGTTTTAGTTCTTCATCAAGCAAATGTTGTGGCTATATTCAGTTTGCAATGATACGAGACAGAAAAAGCAGCCTATCTTCACATTTGACAAGCTGGAACCAGTGAAGATTTTGCATTCTTTGCTTAATAAATGACAACATCTCTGCTGATTGTCTAATGGACTAATCCTAACAATTGTTTCAGCACTGAGGCCAAGACAACAAAAAACCCTGATGACATCTTCATTATCATCAGGGTTATCATGATCAGGCTTTAAAAAGCTCCTCCAGACTCACAAAAGACATTTATAACTGTCTTCACAGGTTGAGTAGCACTCCTCGTGATGTATAAACGACAGGTAAACAAAACATATCTACAATTCCTGTTTTGTTTTGTTGTTTTTTTGCAACCAAACGCAGCATTCTACCTGCAACTTGTGTATGTGGATGTTGAGGTTTACAAGGAGCAAGTGAAGGTAGCAGAGCTCTGTTATGAAGCACAGGTGTTACAAAACATTGCCAATGACTCACACAGCTAACGAACAACAGAGGGACTTTCTGTAACAGCCACCAACAAGGTTTCTGTCTTTAACTTCATGTCACTTACGTGGGACCATTTGGTGGATACATTTCTGCCCGACAGTCTTCAGTATACTGTAAACAAATGCATGAATTCATTGTAGTTGGACAACACAAGCAGATGTTTGTCAAAATAAAAGTGTTAGAGTGCACAGTGGTTGCGCGGGAATGTCGCTTACCGGTGGTATAAACTGTGTCGATGCGACGGAAAGTAAAGCCGCTAAAACGAGACAAACACAGCGGGCCATTTTAGAGAGATTTCAGCAGAACTGTTGTTGTTGTTGTTGATGTTGTTCGTCCTGCGCTGAAGTCTGAGGCGGAAGCTGCCACTGTTTATCTCGTGACAGTGAGCTCACTTTTATGGAAGAGAGGGGAACCGGAAAGCTCTCAAAAGGACATAAAACGCCTTTTGTACCAATAAACGAAGATAAATCACACGTGTTTTTGGCACAATTACAAATATAATAATGATTCTTTTTTTTTTTTGCTATAAAAGCGATAGCCTTGGACAAAATGAGTAACAAGTTGATGGGAAACACCCCTCTAATCAGACAGGCTAGTGGTTGCTTCCACACGGAAGTAAAACTAACTAACATGATCACTCATGTGACTGCATGTCTATTTTAAAAAGTGTTTCATATATTTGTTTCCCACCGTTTTGCTTCACCAAATAACTTTGCATTTAGTTAAGTAATCTGTTGTATACACTATGTGACCGAGAGTGTGTAGACCCGTTCACTTACTTTTTAAATGTTTATTGCATTAGCAGATTTTATGTTCCCTAACACTTCCACTGCACTACATTTTAAATATTGTACTTTTCACTGCACTACATTTTAAATATTGTACTTTTCACTGCACTACATTTTAAATATTGTACTTTTAACTGCACTACATTTTAAATATTGTACTTTTAACTGCACTACATTTTAAATATTGTACTTTTAACTGCACTACATTTTAAATATTGTACTTTTCACTGCACTACATTTTAAATATTGTACTTTTCACTGCACTACATTTTAAATATTGTACTTTTCACTGCACTACATTTTAAATATTGTACTTTTCACTGCACTACATTTTAAATATTGTACTTTTAATTGCACTACATTTTAAATATTGTACTTTTCACTGCACTACATTTTAAATATTGTACTTTTAACTGCACTACATTTTAAATATTGTACTTTTAACTGCACTACATTTATTTGACAACGTCAGCTACTAGATTTATTCTCAGATTAAGATTTGACATAAAACGTGATAAATTTATGAAATACAATGCGTTGTAATATTTCAGGTGTGATGGATTAATTAAAATAAATGTTTTATAGATGATGTGAAAATCACACAAAAAAGAAAAACAAGAAAGAAAGAATGCTAATTTATGTTGTAGATTTTTCTTCATTTGTACCCCATTAATCAACCCACGACCCCACAGGGCTCGATCCCTAGGTTGGGAACCACTGGACAAAACCACCAAACTGTACATCTAACTATATAAAATATAATACATCAGTCACTGGCAGCCATTTCTCTGCAGAACGAGGACTTTTGATACTGTGAGTCATTTTGCTGATAATATTTCTTTACCTTTACTTCAGTAGGATTTTGAATTGTCTTTTAACCAACACTGCTGTATTGGTACTTTTACTTAAGTAAAAGATTTTGGTAACTCCTCCAAAACTGTCAAAACTTTATAAAGCCCAAATGTGACATTGAAAACAGTCCAAAGCCCAACGATATTCAGTTTACTGTAACATGACACAAAGAGAAGCAGTAAAAACTCTCAACTTAGAAGCTGTAACTAGTGTCTGGGCCCCTTTATTACTACATACTTTGGTGGTGGAACTGTTTGTGTTGGAGTAGGTCCCTTATTTGAAGGGAAACCTCGATGCTGCAACATACAATGTATTTAGTTGGGCTTTTAACTTTGAGTAAGGCCCTGTTCTTGCTCCAACACGGCAAAGACCCCAATAGTGTTCAGAGGTTTAAGAGGATGAACTTGACTGACCTGCACGGAGCCCTGATGTCAACTCCTTTGGGATTAATTGGGAAATCAACTATGTAGAAAACCTCTCAACAAGAGTTTGTTCAGGTGTCCACATACTTTTGGCCATGACGTGTAGAAAGAGGAATGGAGTGTTATGCATTACATTTTTCAGGTGACATTTATCTTCATTACATAAACTCAAAACAAACATCACACCAAATACTGTCAAACTTATTAGTCACAGTATAAATAAATAATACATTCTCTGACATTTAATTAAAGGTTAGTTAAAGGCCACTTTTGGCAGTTGTTTGCCCAATTACAAACTCAGTTATAGTTTATATGACCATCGATCACTGCATACAACTACAAAATGTGATCCAAAAACATGGGACATCCTATAAGCCAAAGGTTTCACAAACTGGTGATCCAGAGCAAAGTGAAAAGATGGTTATTTATTTACACAGAACAATCCAATGGGTCACCAGTTCTATAAATGTCACCATTAAGATGAATCCAGCTGGCGGCAAAAATACACAAAGACAACAAAACTGACATGACCATTTAATTTTATTCAAAATATGAAGAAAAAAAAACAAAACACAAAAACAGTACATAAAATGTCAGATCAAATGGCCAAATCTATAAAATCTACAACAAAGACATGGCAGTGGATAGAAGTTGAGTCTTCACTTGCAGTACCTGTCTGCTTTCATTTTGCTTCTCCTGTAACAAAAAACAAACAGATGATGTGTTACATTCAGTGTTTCAGTCTGTCTGTGCAATCAAACTATTATCTGTTTTACATTATTATCAATTCAGTGTCAATCAGTGGATCTACAGCTTTATTTACATCATCATCCTAGCAGTAGTAAGAAGTAGGATATGTGAGAATTTATGTATCATACCATGGATGTGTGAACAGAAGCACTAAACAGATTTCTCAGTCTGTTATAACGTAAGGCAACCCGAACTACCTGCCCATGAGGTTTCGCTACTTCAAATAACACATCTAAAGCTGCAAAGTAAACACATAAAGGAATGGAGGCTGGTCCAACTGCAGTATGAGTGTTGTGCTTTTATGTAACATTTTTGTCTTAAAATCTCTCTGATACATTTATGTAGGAAGGAAAATGTATCTAAAAGTAAAGAAATAAAATAGAAACATAATTTAAAATGTTGTTGGATGTTTTGAATTCACCAGTATACTCCACAAATTTTATTTTTACCTAACCTTTCAGCTGTAGCTTAATATTTAACTGTACCTTTTAAAAACATTGGAAATATTTTCTAAAGCAAATATTCCGAAGCATTTAAAGGTATAACAACGATCCTTCTGTAATTATTTTCATGAACACAAAATTTCTGTGAATAGGAAGTCAATGAAAACACTGCAAAGTGAATCTCTTTACTTTGGAAGGATGATCGCAATGTGCTTGTATTAAATGCTCAGAAACTGCCAGCCTTTTATTGGCCTCATATTTCACTGTGTTAATAAACTCATTGACTTTGACACATTTTAAATTGAACACAAATTCGAGTGAAAACTTTGAGTAAAAACAGTGCAGTTTGATTTTATATCTTCATGTATAAATTACCTGTTTACATGAAGTAACACTTAAGTAAGAGTGATAACTAATACATAAAAAATGTAAATTAGGTGTTTAAAAATAAATATATAATGAGCTTATTTTCACACCTGTCAAGCAAAGCTTCGTGGAACTTCCCGTCTGTTCTGGCTCTCTTTAGTGTGGAAGGGTCTTCCTCATTAATCCTGAGCCGCCGATCCTGAAAACTCTGAAATTTCTTCCTGTAATACACACAGCAAACTATTATAAAAGGATGTTCAAAGGCAAATGACTCACCGCTCGATTCAAACACACAAATTTACTGACATTTTCGCAACTTATCCTCTTTTGAGAACTGACACTGAGGCTCTAAGAAGTTAAATCTTTAATAAAAATCCAGATAATGAGCCCAAGAATTAACTAAAGAAGAGTATCTAAATGTTGACAGTGGCAGCGAAATAGCAATACGCTGCATGCCTAAGCTGACTAGTTGCCACAAATCAACATTTACAGATGTATTATTTACATATTCAGCTAAAGCTGGAAGTTCTCCCAAGGATAAGAGTATAATTTGTTAACAAGGGTGGAATCCTATCCTTTTATTAATCAAGATTTTAGCTTGAAATCATACATATAACTAAATAAGCTCTGCTAGGAAGGTACCACTGCACTATGTGAGGACTTTATCCTCTTCCATCTGTCAGTGTGAACCTTCATGAACATTTTGCTTTATAAATGTGCACGGGGGAGTTTAAAATAATCTGTTATTCTAATGTAAGCAATTTTAACAATATATTCCAATATCTACCACAACATCGCTATAAACAACCAAGGCATCTGAAATTTAGTTTCTCCTCGCTCTGCCTGTATTTTATGATTCCCAAGCTGCACTCCATCCTGAAAGGCATTTTAGACGCTAAACACTACATCAAGACACAGGCTCAAGGGCAGCCATTATCAACATGTCAACATGATGAGTCCATTTCCCCAGCATTCATCTAAAACAAATAATAGAGTCGAAACAAAAGCCATAGCATGCCAAGCAAAAAAAAAAAACAACGCTTCAGACATATTGCCTGAAAGTTAATAGGCCGCAGACGAGCCGTATATAAAACACTTGCAGCATCGGATGCTGAAATGTGGTGTTGCCCTCTTCTCATCCCACACAACAGCAGATCATCAATTGCATCTTTAAGGTGCAGGACTGATGAGGCGGGAGCTTAAAAGGCGTGATCTCACATCCACGGATGTGATTTTGTTGTCAAAATCTCGTCAGTGGAGACCAACACAATGTGAAGATAATGGGAAGGAAACCACTGTTTTCCCCCCTCAGTAAAGTGCTTTGGCATTCATTTCAGGAGGAGGCTGAAAGGTATACTACTAAAACCATAAAATGTCAAGCTGTTGTGAAACCCAACTATAATTATTAATACAATGCAACAGCAGCTTAAAAACAAATACCACTTAAAAAGTAATTTCCAATGTCTACAACAGCAGAAAAAAGCCAAGAGATATTGTATGTTGTACACTGACAATAAACTATTTCTTTTTACCAAGTACTAAAAAAAAGGGGCATGTAATGTGCAGGGACACACACCATTTCAAAACAACATCCACATAACTAAACCATCTCCATGCCAACCAAGCCACTCGTCTGCTGAGAGAGGCCAAATGATGTAGTTAAAAAATTCGGAAATACAAAGTAAGTGCACCTTTTCTTGAGTTATTTCTGGTAAACCTATTAAGTTGTTAGAAATCAGAATGAAGAATTCACAATATATACAGATTGACCAGAAAACACATATTGTATTGTATATTGTTTGCATGTCTGTTTGTTTATACTGTTTTTATCTGAGTACATCTGTTACATTTTGTGTGATAGCATGACTGTATACACGTTGACTGGACAGCTGAAACTTTTCACTGTATGGAAATGCATCTGCTGGCTTTTTAATGCATATGATGACAATAAATTCCCTGAATCTTTATCCACTATGTTTGTAAAACTTTCAGTTGTTACTGACACTATGTCAGATATGAGTTAAGAGACTTGTTTGTGAGGCTGTATTGTTGTATTGTGGACTGGTGTGGTTGTCGATTATACTCTGGGGCAATGATTTATTAGGCTTGTGACCACTTAAAAACAAAGCAATGTCTGACTGCGACCCCTCACAGGCTGCAAATATCTACCAGTTGAGACTAATCTTGTGAAAGAGTGTTTTCCCTTTCTTTTATCTGAATAATATCAAGAGGCCTGAAGAGGTCAATTTACCCAGTAATTTACAGAGAAGAAAGCAAACATTCGAGACTGAAAAATAAACAATCTGTGTAACAGAAATATGTTTTTATGGCTTTCCATCTAATTATTCATCTGACAACCATTTAGGTCTGTCTTATCCCCTTGTGGACGTGTTGTGTTTCTAATATTTTGTCCACCTTATTTAAATTACATATATGACAGAGTTTCACAAATATATTATTTATTACATTTAACTATTGCACTGGATGGCATTCAAATGTTTTTCTGGTCACTCTGTATTTAACATGCATGTAAACACATAACAGCAGCCACCTCCTCCCACTGCCCACTGCTCTTAAATTGCACATTAAATGCAGCACAAAGCGGTCTACTGAACATAGCAGAGAATTGCTGACAAAGTGAAGCAAACACGAGTTTCCTTCATTTGTTAATGACTGGACTGCTTGTAGATTAAAGTCAGCACTAAAGATATACACAGTGGAGAACACTTACACATAATTGAGCTCACAAGACTTCACATTGCCCCGGTCCTCTTCCGCAATCTCGTCTTTACGCTTAACCTCCCGTTCCGTACTCGACCTGATCTGCTCATCATTCAGGGAAAATAAAAAATAAAATAAACAAAGAGTTTTGCATTAAATATCAATATCTTGAACCCCCTGAAGTGAGGTCACAAACATTTTCCCCTTCCATCTCCACAGTCAAGACCCCACAGAGATTGCATGCTTAAAATGGAAGGATTAACATGCAACCTTGTGGAAGAACATCATTTACACATCACCTTCACCATCTCGCCATCCCCTGCTGTTTTGCTCTTGGCCACGATGTCCCCACTGTCACTGTAGGAGATGAAACAGCTATTTGCTGCCAGGAGAGCCATTTTGCCCTGAGGCAGAACAGAAAGGAAACAGAGGAGGAGGCAGTAGATTAGATAGAATTGCAGTGGGATTGGTTGTTGTGACAGGCATGAAAGGTTGCCTGATATTTGATATAAAAGAGTCTCAAGGTTGTGCCGGGCAGGTTGTTTATAGGTTCAACAAAGTATCAAGGCGAGCAGTGTGCTACAGTGATAAGGCAGATGCATTCTGCATAATGAATTAGCTCTTCCTGACTACAGCTAAGTGTTATCTCTCATGGGTTAAACTCCAATCAGCCGTGAGGCTGGAGACAGAGGTAAAAAAAAAAAAAAAAAAAGAGTCCCTTTTTACATAATGTGCTAAAACTAGAAAAAAAAAGTGTGTTTATTTCAAACACTAATTGCTATTCATATGGGCACCACTGGAAATAAAAATATTTATTATTAAGTATGGTTCTTACTGTATTTATTCCAGCTTTGCACTGTCATGCAGTCTTGCACTACCTACCTACCTACCTACCTACCTACCTACCTACCTACCTACCTACCTACTACATACAGCTGAAACAAAAGATTATCATTATTTTTACTTAATATGCAGATTACTTTCTTGATTCCTGATTTCTCTGTCAATAAAGTGTCGGAAAAAAATGTGTTTCAACTGTACTTGTATTTAATTGAGATGAGAGAAAATAACTCTTTAGTATCGACCTTCCTGTTCTTTATCTCTATTTAACTGCTAGTCAACAGAGTTAAATCTACATATACACCAAGATTAGGAAGACTCACCTCCTGGAAGACTGGCTCCCATTGTTCCCTGGCGCCAATAGCATCAGAGCGCCCCACTACCAAACCCTCAGAGTTGATACCCAGGTACTTGCCATATCCAGACTTCAAGGCTACTCTGCAACAGCAAATATTCACCTTATTAACTGACATTGGTCTACTGGCAAATAAGATTACATTAGTTTTGTGCTGGCTAAATGTTGTGTTGGTTATTTCCAACTTGGACATTGGAGAAATAATCAGTACAGGACAGTCAGCGGCTGTTCATCTCCGCATCTCACATCTTGGATGAGAAGAGAAATAGATTAAGCTGCAACAAGGCAGAGATGCTTATATTGATTTATTTGTTTCCCAGCACAAAAAGGGGTGAATAAATAAAAAAATAATAATTAGTATCGGCCAAATTGTTATTTAAAAATCAGTATTGGCTCAGAATTTCAGAATCTGTGCCTCCCTATGAGAAACGGCTGCAGGATGGGAAGCAACTTGACAAGGAGGTACATCTTGACAATATAAGGGGCCCCTGCAGAAGCCAGGTATTGAATATGTTGGTGAAGGATTATCTGTGCAGGCAAACTTGCGCACTCACCTTGCGTCTGAGACCTTGATCGCAGTAAACTGTTCTGGAGGGTCAGGTCCTTCATCATCTGAAACATATAAAACAATGTAAAAAAGGCTTCATATTGGTTCACAAGTTTATCCGTGGGATCTGCTTCCTGTTTTACTTATGCATTCTTGTAATTAATAATGCAAATCCACTGGCTACGTAGCGCTGTGCTGATCTGCGTCCACTTCACCAGCAGTGAGACATTCGGAATAAGATATGGAACAAACTGCTGTGCTGCATTTAATTGCTTTATTTTAAAGGTCTACTGAGTACCACATGATTTCATAAAACTGATCTGCCTGTCATTAGGTCACTTCCCGACCTTTACAATAAATCAAAGTTTTGCACAATTTGTTGTGAGTCATGTGGGGCTCGGGTCAAGGGAGAGCAGACTACGCAAGACATTAACGAGAAAAGATTTAATAAATAAGAGGTAAAATGTGACATAAGCTGCTTTTTCAAAAGACTCATTATCTTTGAAATATGACCTGCAGGTGAAAGTGAACATATTTTGCAGTTTCCTGAAACAATGTATCATCCAAGGTATTGTGCAGAAAATCCAGTCAGAAGGGAGGAAATCTCTAATTTCTATACAACTAGCTCATGTCCTCTTTCATCTCCTAAAAATGAACTTATGTGCACGCAGAGGATGAAGACCCACTAAGGGAATAGGGATGTCTCAATCTCCCAGCCATTTTCACTGGTTCTCACAAAACATGGGCTGAATTAATTGTTAGTAGTGTCTCGTTCCAGGCAGACTGTTTCATTGAGCAACACTCCCTTAGAAGTGCCTGAAGGCAGAAGTGAGTTAAAACTTGGGAGTTAGCTCTGTCCTTACCCTCAACTCAACCCCTGTTCAGCCTTTTCAGTCTGGTGTTTGGATTTAATGCTTGAATACTTACTGCTTTGTGGACTGAAGGCAAAACCCCCCCTTCATCCCCACACTGTGCTATTTCTGCATTGTAATCCTCACCCGTATACACATTTTCGACTGTGCTGAGAAAAAAAGGATCAAATTTAGTAAAGGTCACTAGAGCTGTGTGAATGACCCGACTGCTATGAATTGACTATGAAATGTCAAATTTTGAAGTCACTCCAGTCCATCTTGTTACCTTTGTGTGGTGCACCGATTGTGAAGAGCCCACTATCCAGGGCATGGATGTACGAGTTGTTCTGCATCTCTATGGCAACCGTTCCAGTGATTTCACCAAAGCTGCTGACAGACCACCAACCACCTGGTGAACAGAGAGACCCATGTCAAAAGGTGTAATAACACATGGCACTGCTGTGTGCTTGAAAGCGACAGCAACATTAAGGTGCAGTACACACTCAACAGGAGAATGTTTTGGAGTAGCAGACATATCACTACAAGCTGGTACTTCTAGACTCTATCATGTAACACATATGATCTGAATATAAATACAATGACGTACAACCTGCTACGTTCTAATACTTGCTACTGTTTTAATATTTAAAACAACTATAGACAACAACTACATCAGTGTTGTTTGTAAAACTGTAAACATCAATAATGTTTTTTAGGATTATGTTTACAATGAAAAACAAAATGCTGATTCTATACATAGTTATTATCAATTATGTACATAAATACGCTTTTAACATTCAAATACAGTAATGAGAGACATTTATTTATTCTATTAATCTTCTCATGCTTATTTCCCCGATCATATTGCAAAGAGAACTGTTTTACCTATCCAGAGTACATGCTAAAAGAATATTTACTATATAAAACGTATTTTCTTGGCTTCTGCAATTTAGAAATACAGTACATATACATACCAACAACATCAGGTTTTTCTTCTTCATCTGCTGCCTTTCTCTTCTTATCTTTATTCTTCTTCTTTTTCCTGTCAAAAAAAAATAAATAAATTGTATAAAAAAGAAGAAAAAAGAGAAAAGGTCTTCATTTGTAATTACCTTGCTAAATGTTTAATTACACAGCGAGGACTTGCCAGCATAACCAAACATTAAACCTCTCAGGCGGGCAAATTAATTTGTGGAAAGTGAATACATTTACCTTGAAAATGCAACTGTAAGGCTCTCAAAGCCAACAACAGATCACAGAGTTATCATTAAGTTCTTCTTCCAATATAGTTCGAGGACAGGCCCTTCATAAAGCATTGAATCCTGTTGACTTCTAAGAGTAACTTGGCTGAAAAGCAGCATTTCATTGCTCTCTCTCTCTTTGATTTCAAGCCTGATCAGCAACTACACCCACCAGTGATGTCACAGGGTCCTGGAGTACACCTGTACATCAGCGGAGGTCAACAAGTTACTCTTTGAATTAAATTTGTTGTGCAGCAACATAAATTCAAGACACATTTAGATTTGTTGCTGTAATGTATATTCAAAATGCCCCCATAACAACATAAAAGTTTATTTATTAAATTATTATTGTTATATGTAAATATGAAACACAGAAATACTTTAAATTAATACAGTAATACAGTCTACAAGGCGAAAGTCTGGGGGTATTTCTGTAAGTAATTATCCTCTATAATCATCCTGTTTATACTCACAAATTACTCTACAGAGAGTCAAAGTAGTTCCTCATTATCTTTCCATTTTCAAAATAATGGAGTCTTCTGCAATCTTGTATAATTTCCACATTGTGGAGTTTGGTTTTCTTGGAAGTTAATTCTCTGGACAGTCTCTTATTATCTCTATTATGCCCCAATATATGGTTAATATTATAATTATAAGCTTTTCTAAATCTAGCGTTAGCTCCGTCCAATTATTGTCATTAAAGTACCTGCCGTTTCTGCCGCTAGTAAAACTATTACGAGACAATAACTAAGTTACTTTGTTCAGAAATAAACCACAGTACAGAACTTTTATTTAGTTATTAAGTTAGTTGATGTTTCACGTAACAGTAAGGTTTTAGCCTCGGCTAGCTTCAGCTCATGTTATAAGAACCCGGTTGTTTATCCGTGAGAGCGACTACAGACGGTATCGGTCGGTGGTACTAAGTAAAACAAACACTCACCCTTTGTTGAGACCCTTTAAAACCAGTTTGGTTGATTTTACGCGAGAATATTCAGCCATTGCCTTAGCTAGCGGCTAGCACGGCTAATAACAGGGCGCAAGATGTGCTTCCTATTCCAGAGAACAACAAGTACGGCGGCCGCGGAGGCACAGTCGAAGTATGCTACAAATCTCATTCAACCGCTCAGTCTAACGCATCCAACCTAAATGTACCTCGCTACCTTTGTAGTGCTATTGAAGTTCTACCTATAGGATACTGTAGTCCACTTTGTGGTACAGAACAATTAGACAAATAAATATAAATATATGTGCACTGTAATGCAAAACAACAATCAACATGATATTGCAATCTGTAAAACATATAGTCCACATAGTACAGCATGTGTGTGAAAGTATTTTAAATGCTGTAGACACTGTGTAGTAAAGATGTTGGTACAATTCTTTGGTAGGCGAATTATTAAAACTCTAGTTTGTGATAATATTCAATACTCAATTGCATTAAATTGTGTTTTCAATATGTTTTTTTCTTGCGTCTTAACCTATACATACACAAGGTATCTATATCAGGAACTTTGTTTACATTAGGACTTTATGTTAAAGAAAGAAAGAATATTGGTTTATATAATCCTGTACTGGATTGGTTGGGGTTTAGTAGACCCACATTATACGCTGGTCCACCCTGGTTCATGTGAATTACACAACCTTCAGTCAATACATTGCACATCCCCAATACACAATATATCATTTCCATGGTTACGACTGTCTTCTTGGGTTATTGTCATGCATATAAATTGTTTCTTTGCTGGGTTTGAAGTGAGTTTGTTAGTTGTTAGAATATCTAAGACCAGAGGAGAGTGGTTAGACGTAATCCAAGTAGACCTTGAGCAGATTGTTAAACTCATACAGGTCTATATCTTTGGTGAATAATCGAGAGAGTAACTATTGCTGCCATTCAACACCATGTACATTACACTTGCCACATTTTTCTTTCACATATCATATTTAATCGTAGCAGATCATAAATCACAAGAGACTTTTTATTATATATCAGTGTTGAGGTCAGAGTTGGAGGAAGTGGCATTTGTCTCTTCTTGCCAGCACACACACATACACACACACACGCACACACACACCAGAAATGTTAAATGTTGTCTGCGTCAAACCCCTGAGACCCTTCCCTCAAGTGCAAAAAATAGTCTCACCAATCAGCTGGTAAGGTAGGCAGCGGGGTTGACCTCAGGGATGATGTCCTCATATAACTATATGCTAATGTTGCCTCATTTAACAGAAATGGCCGAATCAGGAGCCTGTGACAGCAGGTAATAAATCATTTGTGGACACTGTCAAGAAGTAAAATAAATTAGACAGTGGCTTGTGTTATCTGCTCAACGCAGTAAATTTCAACTGGTAAGAACTCAATCATCAAACAAAAAAAGTGGCCAGACTGGAGAGAAAGTGATGAGGACTTCCCAGAAACGGGCCAGACACACTGTAATAACTCCAGCTCAAATCTTAAAGGTGTGTAGGATTCAGTGGCATCTAGCAGTGAAGTTTCAGATTGCAACTAACTTAACAGAGCGGGCGTCAGAAACATGGCAGACTCCACGAGATGCAACCCAAAGCGTCCGTAGAAACAGCTAATTTTAAGGTAATGAAAACACAACGATTCCCGTATTCAGGTGATACTCTAATGAAAAGTTATGAATATTGTAGTCCATTGCTGCCAAAAGATCATCCTACATGTTACAGATTTAGTGGCATCTAGTGGTGAAATTGCAAATTGCAACCATTTGAATGCAGCTCAGCCTTCCAAGTTCTGCAGGAAAAACTATACGGTGCCGGTGACAGGTTCTATTGAGCCAGGGTTTGGTTTGTCCATTGTGTAACTGTAGAAACATGGTGGTCTCTCTGGAAGATACACATACCTATGACTATTAGATTCAATTTCCATAGATCCTCCTAAATGTTAAGGTGGACCTTGAACTGATGAAGGAGAGAAACTACTGTAATGTCTTAAGTCAGACTCCTGGTGTTGATGTGTGTGAGGAAAAGTTGGTTCAGACTATAGAAGATGAATCTGGTCAGAAAAGTCTTGTAAGCTTTAAGGAAGTTAGCCAGTGGGGTTTTCAGAAGTCATGAATCAACATTTTACCTCGCTGAACTGAATCCCACATACAGCCTACTGCCTCTGTCATTTGTCAAATTCAATGATACTTTGACAGCAATCCCTGTTGTTGATGGGATTAAACAGTCATAACTCGCACTGAGAGAGCTGAGTGGTTAAGCCCATAAGGACTTAAAAAAAAGCTGAAGGAACAGTGTCAAGCAAAATGGTAGCACACAGTACCTGATGCTGTAGCACCTGATTCTGCAAGGTACCACTGTCTAATACAGCACCCTTTATAAAAAGTGTATAGGTTGTAAACTAATGATAATAATTAATTAATGATCAGTTCTAAGCTCTTATTATAAACAACATATGGGTTTGTGAAAAATCTCTTTTGATGGTGTGTTTCCTTTCTATTTGGTAATGCAGTCATAAATATTTATACCATTTTAATACATATTTGAAGTATTTTTTAACCTTTCCAATAAGCCATTAAGTCAGTAGTAATTAAGTTAAAATCAAGTCATAAGTTATATTCCATTTAAATTAAATCAAACCCATTACTTTTTTTTTTTTTTTTACTATTTCTGGCTGACAAGTTTTCTGCAATAGCCATTTAAACTATTTATATACTGTAATAACATCTCTGTGTAGTAGTTTTCAGTGTTAGTGGCAGAGTCTGCCATTCCTGTTCTGGTATGTAGTGAGCAGATGTAACTTTTGCCACACAACAGCCACTGTGCCCACAAATAAAAAAAAAAGGGACAATGGTAAATGCAAAATGTAGCACAATAAAAGCTTGAATAGAGAAGTCAAGATAAGAAACTGACTCAGCAGGCCTAATGTCAGTTATACAGCGGTATCTATCTAAATCTTGCAAACATTAGCCACCATAAGCTACTTTATACGAGACAGAGTGTGGCTGTAGCTGGCAAACTCCTAAATACATTTAATTAAACAATGGTTTATATTTTTGCTCATGAAGTCTACCTTCCCTTTATGAGGGAAAACAAAAATTAAACGGCCAATTTAGGGGTCTAAATAATCAATTAAAGAGCTAGATAAAAAGACAATGCTGAAGAACCATAAAAAATTTTTTTTTTAAATTATTAATGAGCTATAAAGCATTAGTAAATACTTTTTAAACTATTAATAAATACCTTTGTTACAACTTATAAACTATTTATGAAGAGATCCTCATCAGAGAGTGGTGGAGCCAATATAAACAAACCAAAACTATAAACCAACTAAATATGATATATTATGACCCTGAATATGTCTATGTATAAATATATAATATAACTGACATCCAAAGTGTCTTTTTGTTTAGGTATTCAAAATTTAAGCACCAATAAAGTTGACATCCTAAATCAAATCAAACCAAAGTGACATCTCAGGGAACCAAATATTCTGACAAGTAATGAAAAATAGCTGTTACTTATTACCTCCTGTCATCTGTATATTTATTGTTTCAGAGATACATCACAAGCTCAGTGGTAATGCTTTGCCATCATAAAGACGAGCTTGATGGAGTGACTGAAAATCCTCCTCACAACATGTAGGATGATACAACTTATGCAAATAATCAAACAGTACGACATCCCTCACTGTGTTAGATCCATCATCTGGTGAAGGATGAGTTAATTCAGGAACACTCCTATGTCCTTTGTGTCTTTCATGTCCTTGTTAAAGTGCCTTTTGTCTAACAAGACTGTCTGCTCCATTAGCTGCCTTTCAGCTGTGAAAAAGCACATTTATCATCCTTTATATATACTGTACAAAACCCACAACAGCGCTGACAAGGAATGAACTCCTTCTTGCTGAGGTGAGATCTTCTTCTTGTTTGTTTTCGTAGCCAAACCAACATCACAAATGCAATTTTTTTTTAGTTTTATCAAAAAGTTTTAATTGAAGTAACTAATCTTTAGTCTTGGGATCAGTGATGTCAGTTGAGCACCCACCACTTTGAAATGGATACATCCTGACAAATATTGGATGGAAATTGCGAATAGAAAAATATGTTTATCATATAATAAATCCCAGTAAATTTGGTGATCCCCTGACTTTTCCTCTAGCATGATGTTAACATTTCTGGTTTGGGGTAACATATCTAACTGCTTGATGGATTTTTATTAAATTTTAGTACAGATATTCAAGCTCTCTAGAGATAATAATAATGGTCATGTTTGTTAAGCATCCCTAACATCCCAAAATATTTTTTAAACAACTGTTTAAAAGAACTGAACTCCGCCAGGGTTGTCCTTTATCTCAGATTCTGTTTGGGATTTTTATGGATAGGATTTCAAGGTGCAGCCGAGGGGAAGAGAGTGTCAGATTTGTGGAACTCAGAATTGCTTGTCTGTCTTTGCAGATGATGTGGTTCTGTTGGCTTCATCAGACTGATGAGCTCTAGCATGCACTAGGTCTAACTGCAAAACTAAAGGTGACCATGCCTTTGCTGTTTTAGCCCCAACACTGTGGAATAGTCTTCCTCAATCACTCAGATTCACTGAATCTGTGGACTGTTTTAAGCGGCTCCTCATAACCCACCTCTACAGGCAAGCCTTTTTATAGATCTCCTTGTTTGTTTTCTCATCTGTCGTCTCTCTTTTAATTTATCCTTCCCTCTTGTTTTATCTTTCTTATGTTTGTATTTACATGCTCCCTATGTTTGTTTGATTGGGTATGGTTATACCCACATGTATATTTGTTGTTTGTAAAGCACTTTGGATCTCTGTGTCAAAAAGGTGCTGTATAAATAAAGCTTCACTTACTAACTTACTTACTTACTTACTTACTTACTTACTTACTAGGGAAGTTTGGAGTTGAGTGTGAATTGGTTGGGATCAGAGTCAGCACCTCCAAGTCTGAGGCCATAGTTCTCTGCTGGAAAATGGTGGTTTGCTGACTCCGGGTTGTTTCTGCCCCAAGTGAAAGGGTTCAAGTATCTTGTGCTCTTGTTCACGAGGAAAATGAAGCATGAGATTGACAGGCAGATTGGTGCTGGGTCAGCAGTAATGCAGGTGTTGTACCGGGTCATTGTGGTGAAG